TTTTTCACTGGAGAGTAGTCTGTTTATGACATTTAGCCCTTCTCTATTGATTAATTCCTCCTCTTTAGGTTTTCTAGAAGTTTTTTTGAGTACTGTTATTGGTGTTGGGATGCCGTACAGACCTCTTTCAGCCTTGTGAAGATTGTGTGCCGCATGGAGACAACTGGGAATGAATCAAAATCTTATGGGGAAGGATCGGTGGGGGCTGGAAGTGTATCAGACAACTCTTTTCAGATTATCACCGATAAGTTTGATGGTACATACTATTTGGATTGGGCTCAATCAGCTATGGTGGCCATTGGAGGAAGTGGAAAACTGGGATGTGATTGGAGACACAAAGAAACCAGCCAAGGATGATCCATCTCATGCCAAGTGGGTTCAAGAAAACTACTTGGTGATGACTTGGTTGTGCAACTCTATACAACCTCACATTAGTAGGAATTATTTTTGGGTGAAGACTGCTATGGAGATTTGGGATAATGTGAAAGAGACTTACTCTCAGCCCCTCAATGTTGCTAGAGCCTATGAGTTGAAGAGTAAAGTAAATAATCTTAAACAGGGGGAGAAGCCTGTATCGGTTTACTTCTCTACTATGCATTCATTATGACATGAAATTGATCACTCAAACATGATTGAGTGGGAAAGTCAGAAAGATGCAACAACATATAGGAAGCTGGTTGAAACGAATAAGGTGTTTGAGTTCCTTGCTAGGTAGAATTCAGATTATGACATTGTGAGACAGCATCTACTCACCACTCACCAGAGATGGTGTCACTTCCTCAGGCTTACTCTCTTGTTCACAGTGAGGAAAGTAGGAGGAAGGTCATGTTACAGATGCCTTCCATGACATTAGTACAAGTTTCTTCCCTTGCTTCAGATTGTTTACTTAAGTTTTCAGCTCATAAGCCCTAGCCACATCAAGTGGCTGTGAATAAGTTTCCTTCATATTATCCCAAATATACTTGGCTGTCTTTGTGCAAAGGTAATTTCTGCTGATATGGGGCTGCATTGAGTTGCACAGCCATGTCATCACAAGGTAATTTTCTTGAACCCATTTTGCATAAGAGGTGTCTTCCTTGGCTGACTTCTTAGTGTCACCAGTCACAACCTAACTTTCCTCTTCCTCCAATAGCCATCGTGGTTGGTTGAGTCCACTCCAAGTAGTTTGTACCATCAAATCTAATTGTGTTGTTCTAAAAAGTGTTGTTATTACTACCTGCCCCTACGACACCTTCTCTAGCAGATTTTTTCTTCATTCCCAAAAGCCTCCATGCTGAACTCAGCAAAGAAAGGAATAGAAACTCAATTAACCCCTTTTTTTAAATAGAAGGATCCCAAAAAAGTGAGTATAGGATCAATAGATCAGTAGAACTAAAACTCCAGCCTTGGGAAAAGCTTCAATCTCTACCAATCTCCAAGAATCAGGCCACAAGAAGAACTAAAACTCCAGCCCTAGGAAAATCTCATGTAGCTGGCTTTGTTAAGCTTACATGAGATTCAAGAACAGACCTAAACCTTCTCTGATACCAACTTGGATTTACAGCTGTTAACAAAACAGATTTGGGATGAAAACAACCCAGAAAAGAGAGTAGAAGAGAGAAGAGAAAAGGAGAGAAGAAGAGAAGGAGAAGAGAAAGAATAGAAAAGAAAGAGGGTAGAAATGTTATGTTCCTTCTGCTCTAAACAATGTTATTTATATGTGCTAACATAACATTATGTAAAAAGACTAAAATACCTTGCCGCCTATAACAATACATTAATCAGCAAGAAAAGATAAAGAAAATAACAAAATAACATCATGAATGGGACCACAAGAAAATGTTAGGTCTAGTCCACTGTATCACTATAGAAAGTTTCTTTATCTTTGTCATACATGTCCAAATATTTCCTATGTTGTTAGTGTTGTTAGTCAGTATATGCATTCTCCTAGAACAACTTGTCTTCTTGCTATTGAGAGGATTCTCGCCTATTTGAAGAGGTGTTTAGGCCTAGGCATATTCTTCAAGAATAGTGGTTATTTGTGTTAATCTTTATTATTATATAAATTTTAATAATCAAATTTTAGCATTTATTGAGAAACATCCACCTAGAAATGAAAGATTACTTAAGAATCAAAATATATAGTATTAAGACAAGCAATTAAAGTATGGCATAGTGGTCGACTAATGGTTGTTGTAAATAAATGATTAGGGTTCAAAAATTTCTACCTTCAACTTATGGTTTTTAACTATTTATTTCGGTGGTGTATTAAATTATATTGGCTTAATTTGCATTTAATGACATCCCAATTGTCTTAATTAAAGTGACTTAAATGTGCATTTAATTAAAGTATATTAGCATTTAATGACATCTCAAATTTAAAGGCTTAATTAAAAGTGATATAAATGAGAGAGAGAATTAAATTTGAATTTAAAAAATAGAAAGAGAGGGAAATTAAATTCGGATTGTATTGGTTGATACATAATGCGTATTGGTCCGTTTTGGGATTGTATTAGATGGTACAAACCTGAAATGATCTGATACAAGGCCGACATGGGCCTATATCGGTTGGATATGAATATAAAAAATGAAACTATGTAATTCTACACGTTCTTTGTATTGGTCCCCTCTCGGAATGATACATATCAGTCAATATGGACCGAATACATTGCAAAATTTTAAACCTTGCTTTAGGGTACTGTGCCTTTGTTGGAGGGAATCTTGTGTTTTGGAGGTGTTGTGCCTGTTCCAGTGCAGAAGCAGAGTATTGGTCTTTGGCTCATGGTGTGTTTGAAGTGTTATGGTTGAGATCTCTACTTGAGGAGCTATGCATTGAACATGAAAGGCCCTTGATGCTGTATTGTGATAACCAAGCCGCCATCAGTATTGCTCATAATCCAATACAACATGATAGAAGCAAACATTTTGAAATGGACTGATATTTTATTAGAAATCAAGAAGCTTGCCTTTCCTTTGTTGCCTTTGACATGTAGCTTGTTGTTCTCTTCACCAAAGTTGTTACCGAAGCTAAGTTGGAGACAGATCTATCCAAGTTGGGAATGACAAATATTTATTCCCAACTTGAGGGGGAATGTAGAGATACAGTAGATCAACTTGTGTGGTCCTAATTATTTCTTTCTTATTTCTTATGGCTATTATTGGTTATTTCTTTCTTTCATTATAGGTGGTAGGGGCATTATGGTCTTTGGAATGTGTTTTATTTTAGGGTTTCTAGAAGGGCAACTTTTTGCCCATAATATCAATTAAAAATAATATTTTTTAATAAAATAACCAAAATAAGATAGACTTTTTGGAAAAATATCAAGAAAGGGCAGACACTGTTCATCATCTTCCTCCATGAGAGAATCTCATCGTTAGAAGCTCCCTCGTAGTCGATGCCGATGACTTTGGAATTGAACTTGATATGGCGAAGAAGGTCGAACTTCCCAGCGTACAAATCAAGATACTCCATGATCTGATTGCTGTTGGGAAACTCTTCTTTTACGGTAGATGGCCATGGAAAATCTGAGAATTCTTAGGTAAGCTTCAGTGTCTGGAGCTTGGTAGTCTCTAAAGCTTGTGTCGAAACTCCACTAATTCCTCCCCTGGATTTGAAGACGACTGGATGGAAACCCTTCTCCAAAGTATATTAACTGAAAATGCTCTTCACGTCCCAGAAAGCAAACCGACGGCCGTGTCTAAATCTCCGTCTCCAAGGACTCACAGAACCTCCGCAATTCGCAATGCTTGCTGTAGGATCATAAGATTCCGGCCATATATTCTATCATTTTTCCTTATGAATCTATTGTTCCTTTCATTGCTCTTCCTTCTCTTGTCCACCCATTTCTTTCATTCCTCTTCTCTTGTTCGCCCCATGTTGGTGCGCAAAATGGGATTTGCTGGATTCACTGGTTTCATTGTTCCTCCATTTGTTCCCACAAACAACCTTCTCTTGTCCATCATAGCATTCCGCCCAAGCCTCGCTGTCATCTTCGAATCCGATGTATTCGCTTGAATACAAAGGCAGAGGAAGAAGACCAGGAACAGTGTCCATTGCACTTTCTTGATATTTTTCCAAAAAAGCTATCCTATTTTAATTATTTTATAAAAATATTATTTTTTATTGATATCCAGGGCAAAAATTGCCTTTATCTGCTAGAAACCCTTTATTTTATCTCATATAAATAGCAGTTAATGGGGCAGCAGGACCACAAGATTCTGCACCCTTCTTCTTTCATTCTCTCTATGTTTTCTCTTCTACTTATTTGCTCTTCTTTTTCTTCTTCTTTTCTTGCTGTTCTTACATCAGAACCTAGTTTGGCTGTCAACTTTCTCAGCCAACTTGTAACGTCAACAAATTGAAGAGGAAGGAGACTCCAAATTGGTTATTGGATGGCTTCAAACAGGCAGCCTTTGGAATTTGGACTCATATGCAAACTATGAAGGAAAATAGATATCTTTCAAGGGACTAGAGTGTTTGAGTGTTTCAGTTAGTTGGGTAAGAAGATCTGCAAATAGTTTGGCGGATACATTAGCCAAACAAGGGGTAAACAGCGGTGAACTCTTTTGATCTGAATTGTAAATTTTGAAGTCTTTTGGGGGTTAGTTTTCGTCTTCTTGGGAACTTGACCAATGTACTAATTCTTTTTTTAATTAATGAAAGATACAGTTTCCTATAAAAAATAAATTTAATTACAAGTAAAAGCACTATATTACCCTTTTTTACATATATTTAGAGTAGGTGGACAAATCTGGCCAGCCTCCTAGGCTCCTACTCCAATGCACTCTACATTTTTTCCAACAGTTTAGTCTTTTCATATTGAATAAATAGAAGAGATAGGTCATTGTGCACCTATATCCCTATCTTCCCATTTTCACTCTTTTTTTTTCTTGCTCATTATCTTTCTTTCTTCATGTACAATGAACTGCATCACCCCCCTCCAAATGATTGTGTTATAAGCCTCAAAAGTGCACCATTTTTTATCCCCTACAAGATTTGTAACCAGTGCTTTGTGTTATAGGTCATGTGTGTGATGCTCTGTCAGTGGATCCATGGTCTCGATGCTGTCCACAAACAGGAGAAAAATTCTCTTGTCAGTAAGTTTTCTGCTGCCACCAGCTCTTTGAAAATCTCAACATTGGTGAAATGGGCTGATAAACTTCTTTGTTCCTGTTTGCAGGGGATGCAACCACCTTTCTCAGTGTTGCAACTCATATGAATTTTGTGTTTCTTGCTGCCTAAATCCATCTAGGGTATTTTCTTGAACACTTTATCCTTTGATTATTCACTATATTCTCTCATAAGTTGGTGTTTATGTTTTTCCATGTGAGTTTCTTCTGCAGACACAAAAAGAACTTGCGTTAAAAGTGAAAATTGCCAAACCAATGACTGCAGGTAATAGTCTTTCAGATGGAGGAAACCTCAAGTTTCTTTGCAGAGCATGATTTTCCTTGCCTAGCTAGGAAGAAATGTTTAGAATCTGATCAAACTTCACTTATCTGAACTATGTTAATATCGAGGAATTTAAGAAATTTAACCTCTCAAAAGTTTGACTTATCTAGGTGATGAAATGTTTGCTAGGGGCTCCTTTATATAATGCCTTCTTTGCATGCATGTTTGATTCCTTTTTAGGCAAGGAAAAGGGCAATGAAATCACCTTATCATATGTTGTATGCTATGTTGTATTTTATTTATGCTTTAAGTTACATAAAATCATAATATACACTGTTAATTACTTATTTGCTTGGATTATTGCTGTGACACTTTATTGCTTGGATTTATTGTAAAATGTATTGTAATACTTCTTTGCTTGGATCACTAATACTATTGACTTGTTTCTTTGCTTATTTGTTTTGATTCTTGTTATATAACAATTCATAATTTTAAACATTTGTTTGCTAGGGGCTCTTTTATATAATGCCTTCTTTGCATGCATGTTTGATTCTTGTATTGTTTTGATTCTGGTTGGTGTAGATCCTTGTTTTATCATTGCACTAGTTCCCTTGCTCTAGTTTAGTTGGGCCGTCTTTGTAGCTTTAATAAACATTTCCTTGAGCCATCTCTTTACTATGCTTCGAGTGATTTCATTAGAGTTAGGAGATGGTCAAATTGTGTCCAAGGGTTTACAAAGGAGTTCTTTGATCAATAAATCTGAGGATAAAAATCAGATGGAGGGTGATCAGAAAACATCAAAGAACTGTCCATCTTAGAAGTTTTTTGCTTAGTTGAATAGGGGTTTTTATGGGGTTGGTCTTCATGAAAATGTAAAGAAGGTTCCATATCAAAAAATAAAAAAAAAGGTAAAGAAGGTTAAGAAGGCAAACTAGAGAAGAATAGCTATGGATGCTAATCAAGCCAATGAAGATGTGGAGTTCATATTGGCTAGGGATTTTGTGGACCACTTCAAATCTGTTTATAAAAGGCCCTTGAATAGGAGGCTCATGGTGGCAGGATCAGAATGACCAAGTTTAAATAGGGAGTTCAAGGAAATTCTACAAGGGAGTTTTGAGTTGGAGGAAATTAAGGAGGCTGTTTTTTTTTTTGTATGAATAGATCAAAGGCTCCATGCCCAGATGGATTTACAATGGCCTTTGATTAGGATTATTGGAACATTTTGAAGTGGGATGTATTGGACATTTTTTGAGAATCTTTGAGAGGGGGACACTAAATCTGGAAGTATACGTTATCTTTTTGGTCCTAATCCCCAAAACACTTGGAGCCAAAGATTCTAGACATATTAGCTTGGTAACTAGCTTATATAAGATTGTTGCTAAGGTCTTGTCTTTGAGGCTAAAAAAGGTACAACCTTCCATTTCCTCAACTGACCAAAGTGCTTTTATGTAAGATAGACAAATTACAGATCAAATCCTTGTAGCAAATGAGTGTGTGGAAGAGATGAGAAGAATTGGGAGGAAAGGAGTGATTAAGCTCGATATAGAGAAAGCTTATGACTTGGTGGATTGGTCATTTTTGTCGGTAGTGTGTAGGAGATGTGGCTTTGGGAAGAGATGGTGTAAGTGGATTATGGGGTGTCTTCAAACTTGCCATTATTTAGTCCTACTGAATGGGGTAGTTGTAGATTTCTTTCTAGCTTGAAGAGGGCTTAGACAAGGTTATCCCCTTTACCCATTGTTATCTACTCTTGTAGTTGACGTTTTCAGTTGATTAATCTTGAGGGTAGATAGAACTTAGTTAATTATGGGATGGACTTCCCATAAAAAAAAAAAGAATTGGATGAGAAAGTATGGTGGTTACTTATTTGCAGTTTGTAAATGCCATTGTCTTGTTTTGTGATGGAGAAGAGGAATAATGGGTAAGGAATACGAGGCTAACCATACAACTCTTTGAGCAAATCTCAAATTTGAGGGTAAATTTTGATAAAAGTTTCCTAGCCAGGGTTAATTTGGAGGAGAGGGCTAGTTGCCTTTACAGGTATTGTGGGATGTTTAGTTTCTTCATGGCCAATTAAATATTTAGGTCCTCCTTTAGCTGCCAATCCTAAGGATCATAGTTATTGGACCCTGGTTATAGAAAGATTGTTTAAGAGGTTTGTTGTGTGGAAGAAAACTTACATCTCTTTGGAAGGTAGGATTACATTAATTAAGTATACATTGGCTAATCTCTTTATGTACGACTTGTCTTTGTTTAGGATTCCATAGAGGGTGGGGAAAGCGATTGAAAAAAAATGAAGGATTTCTTGTGGGAACTCGAGGAAGAGAGAAAGGGCCATTTATTTAATTGGGAAGCGGTTTGTAGAAGCAAATGTCAAGGAGGCTTGGTGATAGGGTGCATAGAAATGAGGAACTTGGCTTCGTTGGGGAATTGGGTGTGGAGACTACCTTTAGATAGGGATAAATTATGGCATAAGATGGTAGTAAGCATACATGGGTAGATGGACAATGAATTGTATGTTGGATTTTCTACTAGGGCTACTCAGACTTCTATGTGGAAGGCTACCCATACCTTTCTTTCACACTTTCTCCCTTTTATTTGGTATAATGTTTGTTATTAGAAATCGTGTTATGTTTTGAGAGCATGAATGGGTGGGGAAATTTCCATTAAAAGACCAATTTCCCCCTCTGTATGCATTGTCTTCCTTTAAATGGGAAATTGTTTCAAAGTTTGCTGTCTCCTTTGTATCAAACAAATGTTTTGACTCGGATTAGGGTTTTGTTGGAACTTTGAACTTCCTAGTGTACTAAGACTCCTACAAATTCTTGAAGGGGTGTACCTAAATCCTTCTAAGTCTAATTTTTGGATTAGGACTCCCTCTCCCTTGGGCTCTTTCTATTTTGTTTATTTTTTAATGTCTTGACCTGATCTGCCCTTTGTCTGCACTCTTTTCTTGTAAAAGAGGTTTGGTGTAGACCTATTCCACCTAGAGTTGGTGCACTCAGTTAGGAGGTTTTTTTTCTTAAATGAGAAAATTAACACTTGCAACTTGCTTCAAATGTTTCCTATCCCCTTGTTGGTTTATACTTTGCAAGGCTAATGGTGAGACTTCCTATCACTTGCTAATTCCTTGCCCTTTTGTCACTTGTATTTGGAATTGATTCTCTTTATTTAGGTGCAGGTGGACTCTTCCATCTAGTATGCCAAGCTTATTTGCCCATGTAACTTTTGCTTAGCCAAAGAAAGAGCAGTGTTTTAAAAGCGAAAGGCGCACAAAAAGTGACAGGTTCCAAATGTGCCCTAGGCGCGCACCTTTTTAAAAAAGGCGCATGAAATTAAAAAGAAACTAAAAAATAGAAAAAGAACATGTAGAAATTCTAAGAAATTAGGAAAATGTCAAAAAACAAAGTGGGGAAGAAAGAAGTAAAGAAAAAACTGAAAATAAAAAAAAGAATGGGGTGGAGCCAGTGCTTTAAAAGCATAAGGTGCAAGGCGAGGCGCACACCTTAAATTACAAAAAAAGCTAAAAAATAAAAAAATGCAAAAAAATTAAAAAATATTAAACATAATGTTAATAAAAATATAAACTTAAATTTTAAAATAAATGATTAAAAAACGTATTATCTAAAATTAAAATACATAACATAACATGTAAAGTGTATTCAAATGTGTAAAGATACTGGGCCGAATGGGCCCTAACAGCCTCTCTTGTAATATTTTTTTATTTTATGTTGATGGGCCACACTTAATGGGCCTGTTATTTATTCTTGTTTATTTCCTTTATGTAACTGCCAAGCTGGCCGCTCACTTAAGGGCATACTTGTCATCATTAATTTTTAGATCTTAATAAAATAGGGTTAGAGGAGAATGGAGAATTAATTTGACTCCTTCTTTTCTTACCTCTTCTCTTCGCCATCTTCTTCTCTTATACAGTTATTCAAATATGTTTTATTCTGCTAATCACTGAATTTAAACTTGATATTAGAGGACTGATTTACATCTTGGTATCAGAGCAGGTTTAGTTCCTCTTCCTTCTTTTTCTTCGTTTCTGTACACTCTAAAATCAAGAGAGTGTATGGAGAGATAGGTTCTCTATAGTATAGAGAATCASTTGCCTAGTTGGTAGAAGGGTTTGGAGAGTTTAGTTTTGGCTAGATTTTGCCAAGAAGTGTTGTTGTTCTGCTGCTGCCCGAAACCCTAGCCGACTAGAGATTTTCGAGGTTACCAGGAAAGGTGAAGCTCGGGTGTGGCGCTCTGTGCTTGGAAGGTGTCTTGAGACTGCTAAATGAGGGCGGTTCAGGTTTGGAAGAGTTTGGGTTAGTCTGGTAGGTGTGGCAACATCTTCTCTCTTCCTCCCATCTGCTGGACGGAGCAAAACCCTAGTTTTTCAAGCACCCAAGTTCTGGTTTGGCTTCAAGTAAGTTTACATAGTCAAATTTTTTTGTTCTTCGATTTCCATTTGATTAATGGAGACATACGGAAGTGAGTTCAAGCAGGTACCGGTTTCTGGACCTGCCTCAGTAGATTCCGTTTTGACTAGTGTGACCACAATTAAGCTAGATGGGACAAACTATCTTGCTTGGGCACAGTCTATAAAAATCTATGTTTGTAGTAGAGGAAAACTCGGGTATCTCACAGGCAGTAAGGTGAAACCCGAAGAGACAAACCCTGAATTTGAAAAATGGATGCAAGAGAAATACACTGTTATAGGATGGTTGGTTAACTCTATGCAACCCCATATAAGCCAGCACTATCTCTGGATGTCTTCGGCCAAGGAGACATGGGACAGTGTAACTGAGACCTACTCACAAAAACTGAATGTAGCCAGAGCGTACAAATTGAAAAGTGATGTGAAAAACCTGAGAYAKGRGGAGAAGAGTGTRGCAATCTACTACTCTATACTAAAATCCCTATGGCAGGAAATTGATGTTATGGAGACAGTGGTATGGGAGAGTAAAAGGGATGCTGAAATGTATAGAAAGCTGGTGGAGAGAAATAGGGTG